GGATTTCAGCAAGTGGAACAATTATCCTGACTGCTATGTTGTTATTAATTGTAACAGCAGTTACAATTAATAACAAATTATAATGACAAAAATATATATAACCTATAAGGACAAAGATGAGGGAAGGAAGGGCTGTCTCTTGCCTGCGATCCCCCACACCCAAGGCAGGAGGCTGACTCCAGGGATGGTGGGGAGGAAGGTCAAAACTCTTGAAGAGGCTGCATCAAAATATGTTTCTTCCTACAAGATGTCCTGAAACAAACCTATAGTCTCAGGTCCAAGATTGACCATTTCTTAATGCTTCCCATTAGATAGAGTTCCTTTGCCCATGCTATGAGTTGTGTGGTTTAACTTCTTGGTGAGAGGCGGCTATTTCACCCAGGGCTTACAGAACGCTATGTAGATTTTGGTAATTCCACAGAGTGATTGGCACTCTTTTGTCTTTGATTTCCAGGGTTTCTCTACTATGAGGACCTTGTTAGCTGTGTTTCTAAGGCAGAAGCGGATGCAGTAAGCTTGATTGTCAAGAATACTGTCTGTATGTTTCTACCAGAGGCTTTAGTTACCATAACTGGTGGTTTCAGGAGGTGAGTGAAACCAAAGGACATCACTTGGCTGTTTTGTTCAGGTATACACAAAACTATGTTTGTGTCTTGGAAAAATCAAAGGAGCTTAGTGGGAAAGTATCACAGTTTGTTTTCAATGGTGGTTTGTTGTTTGTTTTGTTTTTTTTTTTTTAAAAAAGAGAGAGCAATCCTATGACATTCCCAGGTTCCTGTGTTTTATTACTATAGATGGTTGGTTTGTCAGAACAAAATCTATCTAAGAATAGCTTGCTGGAAAAATGATGTTTAGATCACATACTGTATTTGAGCATTTTTTTTTCCCCACTTTTAGTGGATCTGAATTCCCAAGGCTGAGACTATTGTAAGGCCATGCTTGAAAAAAAGATACAATAGCTTTAAGGCAATCTTAATGTTTGGGTGGGTTTTTTTGTTTTTGTTTTGTTTTTAAGATAACTTGGTCACATGAGATTTAAATGTGCTAAGGCAGAGTTTGTAGTGTTAGAAGTGTACTTTGCAGCAAACACTGACTGAACTGAATATAAAGCACTGACTAAACTGAATATACACTTCTATAACCGCTGTATAGATAGGGTGATTTCAGAATGTCTTTCCTGGGTGATTTTTGTTTGTAAAGCTTTTGATCTTGCTCTGTAAAACCAAACCTGGAACTGTTGCTCAGGACATACATAAGTCATTCTTTCAGCATGCGCTTGAGAGCTTTCCTAAAGCCACATAACAAAGTATTGAGACTGGGAATAGTCTTCAGGGGTATCGGGTTCCTTGTCTTCAGGGGTATTGGGTTCCTTGCTCTGTCCTCAGTCCCCCATTATGTCACTACTTGTAGTACATGTCATGCTCATAAACCAAAAAAGCTTTAGTCAGAGCTTTAAATCTCTTACTGTTTAATTTGTTACTTTGTAAAACTTTGACTGTATTTTTAATATAAAAATATCTTTCAAAAATATGTAGAGTATCCTCTTAAAACTCAAAATATACACAGTTCTATTACTCTTACGCAGCTAAAACTGGTATTAAAGCAAAAGACAGAAGAATGTTAATAATTACTGTTTCACTTCTGTGTTTTATTATTGTGAGCCAAGATAGGCCTATATAGACTCACTCTGGTGCTAAATTACGACCTAATATGATTTGTAATTGCTATATACATGCACAGTGATTGTGATGAACATATTTTATCACCTTTGTGCCACCTCATGATATTTATAATAATTCCTTGCATGTCACATATTTATTGTAAGAATGTTTGCAGTCACCAGCTACATAATTTCTATAAAACAATGTGGTTAATAAGAAACATTAGGCATAAGTATGAACCTTGACCAGAGGTATAAGAACAAGATCAAATTTTATATTGAAAACCTCATGTGTCATCATTCTGTAAGTCCTTGTTCAAGAGGCATGTGATGGCAATCTCTTCCCACTGATGCAAATCAGTCAGGGACCTTTTGTTGTTATAACTTCGAGGTAACTGATTGACACATGTCTAGATGGGTCAGAGAGTTGCAGGGACGGAACTGTTATCACGCTTGAAAACTCCCAGTCTCTTCTGACATGATGTATTTGTGGGCTTTGTTGGCAGCACAGTTGTTTGCAAAGTTTGAATCTCACACACCAAATTTAAACCCATTGTTTTGCTTATTATTTCAGGGGGATATGATAGTTAGCCATTCCTCATATCAGGAGGATATGATAGCCATTCTCTTTTTTTTTTTTCTTCTTATTAAGAATAAGCTTTTTTATCTCTAAACGGGTGTGTAAAATGGAAGAGAAATTAAGTATCTGATGATGCCTTCATTGAATGTATTGAATGAATATTCCTGTATATTAATTACATTCCTTTAAATATGCAGAGAATATATTAAAAAACTAAGTTTCAAAACATCAGTCCTAAATGGTAGTTTACCAGCCCATGGAAAGCAAATGCTGCAGTGTATAATTTGTAGAAAACTTGATTAAATGGATTGAGGTACCTTTATTAGGCACCTATATTTTAATTACTGAATTGACTACACCTGTTCTTTTTTGCCTGTCTCATGTAGTGGCAGCATTCATCAGCATGAGGTATGTGTAAGCTCACTAGCTCACAGTTTTCAATTAACAAATTATTATTTGTTTCTTTCATTATGATGTAAATATTTTAATAAAAGTAGGCAAATTTTGTGACTCAAACGATTTGATTCCCTCATGCTACTCCTTGTACACTGCTAACATAAGAGGGAAAAAATAGCTTGTGATTTCTCTGAATAATATACTAATTCCCCAGGACCCAGGTATGTCTTGTTTTGTATATTTGTTTCATAACTTGGAAAAAATAAGCAGTTGACTGTGTTCCTCCAGATTTGACTGGAGAGTTGAAGGTCAGGAGTCTCATAAACCTTACTTACTATGCGGGAGAACTGGATGAATTACAAGGAACAGAACTTCCATTAGCAAGCCACAGTAATGAAGATTCAATAGGGTAGAGATGAACTACAGGAAAGTTACATTCTTTTCCCCAAACCTATCAAACAGACACATGACTGGATATACTGAATGCATTACTAGACCTTTTCCATTAGATTCTTGGGATTTCATGAAATCAGATGTTGCAGAGTTTTCCTTTAATCAAAATAAGGAAGCATAGTATAAAATTCAAGTAAGTAATAGCTCTTTTTGAAACCCCAGTAAATGTTCGTGGACTTTTCTTTGGTTTGATTCAGCTTTCACCTTCAGCCTTCTGTATTGTTTCTTGTACTAGTCTTAATGCTGGTTTGTTGGTGTTTATAGCAGCCATAATCACGGATGGTGGTAGACGAACCATCTTTCAGGTATAAATGAAGGAACAGTTCAAAGGATTAAGAGCAAACACAAGAGAAGCTGCCATCTACAGTACAAAAGCATCAGGGCATCAATCCCTCGGTAGTCAAATTGCAAGCACAAATGCAGAACAGACTTAGCTGGCAGCTGTATGTTAGCGAGCAACAGGAAAACAAAAAGAAGGATGTACAGCGCATAGTGAAAATGATGGGGTTTTGAAGAGGAAAGACAAGGATGTTTGGAGCACGGGTTTGGCTGATAGTCTGGGGACTGTGTTAGGACACTGGTCACTGCTTGTGTCAAGGAAGCAGGATTGCAGGATTAAGCCAGTAGTTACCTGTTTGCAGATTATGTAGTATTGGAGACTACTGTTCGTGGATTTCTAATTCAGCATGCCGGAATATTCAGGGGGAAAAGATGGCCTTAGACAGGAAGTGAAAATCAAATTACTATTTTAGATCTATGTGGTATCATCAAAGTACAAGACCAAAAGTTGTTAGAGTAAGGCATGAAAATTGGAAAAGCTGATGCAACCTTATTGAGAACATACCAAGACCTGTTTCTCTGACCAGTTTAATGCAATTTATTTCCTCTTTTGCTCTAACGTTCTGTGGTTTCAGCTTAGCCCCAAACTCTCTCTTTTACCTCAAGGGTCATGTTAGTGAAGCCGACTTCAGTGTCTGCTACTTCCTTGATGCCTTTTCTTTCCAATTCTTTCATCTTTCTGCCTGTATTCACAAAACAATAGTTCATAAAACATCTGTAACAAGAAGTGCTTGTGTTTTTGGTTGGAAGTGGCAATAATGCTACGTTTGGTTGAAGGCAACTCTCTTCAGCTAGCTGCATCTGTAAAGGAATATAAAGACTGAAATAAAGTAACTGAAATAAAGGGTCGTGACGGCAACCTTTCAGTATTTCCCTGATTTGTAATCATTCAGAAGCAGAAAGGAATAAATTAATGATGTCTCAATGAGTTTATCCTTTACTCCCTTTACTCCCCTACAGAAATACTTAGCTATGCAGCTACGCCTGCAAGACCTATTCCTTGAGTCTCTGTTGGTATAGTTTTGTATGAGAGGCTGGGAGAATTTTTTTCTTTCTTAAAAAAATCTTTTTCTGACACTCATCTGGGTCATTTTGAAACAGAAATTACAACACTGAAATGCATGGAAATACAGAAGTAGAACAACTGTAGTTATGAAATAAATAAATCACACCCACATGGTGTGGAATGCATTTCGTTGTCTATCTAGTGAGGCCTATCAGCTCGATTGCAGAGAAGGAAGTATTGGAGATGTTGATAATGCAATATAAAGCATACCATGGACAACGTTATCAGGAAGACTGAATTTACCATGCAGTCTATTTGAATCAGGAATTGGCATGGCATTGTTTTCAGTGCCCAGACTTTCTTATTTTGAGTTGCTTAAATTTCAGACTGTTTTCTTCTTAAAGGAACGAGACAAATTCTGAGGTGGGGAATAGCAACTCATATTACAGGTTACAAAAGCCACTGAGGGTGAAATTTCCCTTGCAGCACTGAGTTGGAGAGGTCTTGGCACGGGGAGAAAAGAAACTATTTTGGTGTGCGACATCCCTGATTAGTACCGTGTCTGTCCCAAGTATCTCCAAGGCAGGAGTGTAGTTTACGCTGGTGTATGATATCACTTTTAAACTGAGGTTCTGATTTTTTTCCTGGTTATTAAAAATGTAATTTTATTATATGAAGAGATTTAGGGTTTTTTGCCGTAGTAATAGCATTATCTCATCTTGTATATATTAGTGCATATTACAGAAAATTTGATTCCTATTAGCACTGTGTTAATACTGTTTATTAATAACTTTAGTATTATTGCAGGATTGTTAGTAATGACAAGCAGATGACTTCACATTAGGTTTCACAGGAGTGAATACTCCAGTTTTGCCCCTTTCTCCCATAGCTCCATGTTAGGACACGACTTCACAGTGACTTCAGTAAAAGGTTATCACGGGCCAAATCATTATCACCATATTCTGCAAGATCCTGGGCTTTTGCTAACTTGATTTAGCTGCTGATATTTGATATTGCTAGAAGAGGTGATCTAGACTGAGGGCTTCCCAAGGGCAAAGATGCTTGGAGGAAACATTATATAATATATGTAGTTTATGGCTTCAGTCTCTCATCTGGTTATTCATATCTCAAACCACACACCCACAAAACCCAA